CTGGGAGGGCGTGACGTAACTTTCTTAACACAGCGAAACTTTGCATATTGCTGCACAGTTCACCACAATAAAAATAGTGTTCGCATTTTTTCGCAGCTCCAGAAAAATTGGGAAATTTATCAAAGGCTACCCAATTTCTGCGAACAATTTGAAGCAGAAGTAGTTGCGGGGGTAGTGGGGGCAGACGCGACTGTAGGACGTCACGTCATGCCTTCGCCGCTTGACAGGTCACTGCTCTGCAACTTTTTTTCCGAAACCTCAGAACAGGTGTGTCCGCCACCTCCCCATTTTTCCAGCAAGGGACATGTCAGAAAGCACTTCGACATTTGTTTTCAGTCACTGACTCAGTGAGAGGCAGCAGAAAAGGCCGCCGTGTGCCCCTTCTCACTAGCTTTGTTCTTTTCTGATTTTGGCAGATTTCCACTTTTTCGTTCATTGACGTCGCCACAGACATTTATTCGTTTGTTTTTCTTCGGGCTCATTCAGCCGTAAATTCGGCTGCATCGTGTGCAATGCGAGTTCCAATTCTCTTCCTTTCTGTAGTATGTCATTCTATAAGGTTGCCCGCAACAGAGCGTGTGTAGGAGGCGTTGGACGGAAAACAGCCATCCAAATTTGGTGCTGGATTAGTTCCGCCACGTTGGAAACGGAAATGTCGACGCTGGGACTTGTTATTTTCGTCATTTTGAAAAACCAACACGAAGCAATAATGACAGTTCCGGGATTTGGCACCTCTGGCGCTAAAGCTGAGCTCAGGATCAAGCGTATGGCGTATGTCGTGAAATCGTGGGGTCGGAGGGCGGACGACGTGACCTGTGTTAGTTCTGGGTCGTGTGTGCAGGCTTTAATAAAGAGCAGTAGTAAAAATCTGCATTTCCTTCTGTACCGCCGTGGAGCGCGGTATCTCCGCCGAGCTGGAATTCATGACAGATTAGTTCAGCTTAAAATTCTTGAGACAAATGACATTACGCAGTTAAGGCCGCGTACAGGTACTTCTCCTCATTCTCTACCCCATTCAATTATTACGGAATGTGTCCCGAGAGCCACCTTCGAGACTCACTAACCCTGAAAATGTATTGTTAGATGTGTGGAACTCTACCGTTGTGAGCTCATTGTTCTTTTACAGAAGCGATCTCTACTGAAGTGCCAGAACACTATCTGATAGCGAACTTTATCCTGTCTCGCTACAATAAAGGCCTATAACCAAAACGTCCAAACGCATCAATAAAGTGGTCGTTCTCGCCATGGAACTCTATCAGATTAATCCAAGTGGTAAGTTTCCAGCAGCTATTCTCGAAAGCTCCTAAAATTGCTAGAGTTAGGTGGGTTGAAGAGACTTTGATAGATACATTTTCATGTCAAAGGCCTGGAGATAAAGTCTCGTTCGTTGCGGAGGCTGATCGTGTCAGGAGCGCTAGGTATGAGCGACGCCAGACGTTTTCACCAATTATCACCAGTCGTCTGCCAGCTTCCAGCAGTGGTCGGAACGGGGCTGGTTCCGCGAAGTAAAACCCAAAGCCCTCTAGCACGCCCAGAAACGCAGTGGACAAACACTAAGCTCAAGCAGTGCGTAGCTAACTATCCTTCGCCTCACACTACTCTCCAAAGATGATCCTAGCATCACTTCCAAGATGATAACTGTGGGACCATTCCACAGTTTCGTCTCTTCTAGGAATGTACTGATAAGGGAATCCCAATCCCAGAGCAATTTCATTGGCAGCAAGTGAAGAGCCAAATTTTCAGGCAGTCTTTTTACTGACCTGTTTCCATAAGCGACCATTTGTATTTCAGAATGAACCGCAGCAGTATCTCATGTTGAACGCTTGGATTGTTGAGGTGAGTTGGGATTTTTGAATATTTGGAGCGCCTTTCCTGAGTTAGCAAGAGTGGGCAGTTTCTCCCTGTGAAGGATGACAAGGATAAAGCTCTCTGCTTCGCAAGGAGGGTCATATAACTCATAGAACGCTTTTCCAAAACGATTCTTTCCATTGTAGGGGTCCCACTGTTGAGCAGAAAAGTCTATTCTAGCTGAGCAGCTCCAGCAAAGCCAAAAGGGTGTAATCAATCATGGTTCGGATCCTCACGGTGACAGAATCTTGCTTTTCCGTAGTTTCCTCTTTCTTGTGATAGTAGGCGTTACACCATTTTGTCCAAGCGAAAATATGTTCAAAAATCTCATTGGATCCGAACCACAGACCGTACTACAACAACTTCAGTAAAAGTCCTTATCATTACCCACCACACCATCCCACCGGGCAGTGATAAGAATTTTTCTGATTGTGGATTTTTTTCCGTAGGGGGATACACTTCTGTTCTTTTCAGGCGGCGAAACGTTGAATGGGTATGGGTTTGGCACGATGCCAGCCATTTTTCCACCATTTGTGATCGCCTGGCGGCTTCCACGATTCATGGAGATTGTGTTCGCCGGTGCTACACCCAGCCTCCACCTAATACGCCCCAGCGTCAGCGGGGCACGAACAAAACTGTGTCGCCAGGCTCCATGGCGGTCGAAACTTTCGGAGAATCGGTAGGGAGGGATGGAACATTTGATGATACGGTTGAGGGTTGGAGAGTTTCCCCAAAAGAAGGGAAATTTGGGAGGGGGGGGGGGGTCCTAACACCATAATTCGCGATGCTGTACCTCGTTTGGTATCAACTTACCCGCATGGGGATGAAAGGTATGATTGACCTGTGCAGAGCCCGGGACTGGACTACATGGAGTATGTGGAGTGGCCCGATAGTCGCAAAAGAACTTCTGCCCATCATATTTGTAAAACATATTTGACAAGGTGACAGTTTTTTGAGACAGTAAAAGGCTTATAAAAGTTTTATGCTTTTCTGTCAGATCCTGATTTCAGCGATGGGTAGACAATCTGCTTGGATGGGATCCAGAAGACTTCTCAAACGTTCACGGAAATTATGCTTCCATACGATAACCTTTGATTCCGCGACACTGGGGCAGCTTTATAATTCGTAGGTAGCTCGTTTATACAATCGTCATATGCAATAAGTATGCAATCCCAAGAAAGCATTTCTGAAGGGGGGGGGGGGAGGTAGAATTAGGGCCGCGTTTGGGTTATCCCCTCAGTAATTTCTACCATGGGTTTAATTGCAAACCTCCAGAGTGAGATTAATATCTAAATGGCGTGCAACCAAAACGGGTACCGTTGGTGACTCGAGTCGGTGCGGCACGCTGCGTATGTCACGGCGATGTTGGAGCGGATGGGTGACCCAAGAGAGTGAAGGCCACCAGAATGGGAGTCATGAAGGTGCGAGCAGTCACAGCACACAGAATTCACTCGTTCTGAATGATGAAATATCAGAGCTCTTGTTGAAGTCAGGGGACGTGCAGGGGAGGGGGGGTTGGTGGTATCCATCAAACGTCGGTTGCGGCCGTTCCTTCAACCGATCGGCGGCAGCTTCGGGGGTGTTAGCGGATGGTAAGGAAGATGTTGGCGCTCCACTAAAGCCCAATTTCTTTTGGCACGCTCCGAGTAAGTTCACGGACAACGAATGACTTTCTGAGTGTTACCGCAATTCGAACCTCCTGGTCGGTACCGATTTGGAGGGGAGGGAGGAGGGGTTAATTGAAGGGCACGTCTTGATAAGAAATGTTTCAAATAATCTAGTCATTCTGGCCGATTATCGTTGCTTGAATGCTGATGCCTACTAAGACATAACTATTCCAGGTTGGTAATGGACGACCAGGACACAAGACGTCTCCTGAACGCCAAGTTGACAACCCGCGGAAAGGAAAAGGGCGCACTTGTTGAATTACTCTATCCCACCATCTACAAGCTCAGCTGTTTGTTAGACCTGAGGCAGGTTTTTTCCTTCCTGGACAGGCTCACTCAAAAGTTATGAGAATTATATGATCTACTTTCAGGTTCTTCCCATTCGATGTACAGGTAGGAAAATGATAGTTAGACTGCACTATAATAAGGTTAGGAAAACAGGAGGGACAGTACCCAAACGGCGCGTGAAATTAAGAGCGTAGGACCAGCTAGTCCACACTGTTTACGCCCAGGCAGCATCTGGCCACAGGTGCAGAGCGGAGTCAGCGTCGCTTGTCTTCTGACCTCATCCGAGGGCTTCCCCTTCCCCTCCCCTGGCACGATGGTTGGGCAAAAGGGTAAAACGCAGACTGATAAAATACCTTACATGGGCAGCAAAACCGGCTCATGGTACGCCCAGTTGTGTGCTTTGCGGGACGTGCACATTTAATTTAACGCTTCATTTTCGAGAGTACTGTGTACCGCCTGTCTTCCTAAATTTATAATCTTATGATTTTTTCATGTGTTTCAAAAAAATGAAATCACTTCTATAGACATGTAAACTAACTTTCGGCAGTTGGACATTTGACAATACACTCATCGATTATTTTGCGCATAACGAGAGCCATGCAATCGGTACCTACCAACTGCATTGATAACGAAGGATGGAGCGTACTGAAGACTAGCGGTATGTGTATATTTAACTAATGTTTTTGACACATATCAATTTAACAAGAGGAGGAGTCACTGACTGATGAGCGCGCGGTTGCGGCGCGATGGTTTGACCGTCAGGGATGGCTCTTCTTAGTTTCTCGAAATGATCAAAAATTGTTCAGTGAAACCTGTGAATCAGGGTGCGATTCACGTTCACCCAAAAGACTACGTTCATACTTTGCGACTTGTGCTATTCAAAAGCGGGATTTGAGAGTGGCATGACTATAAAGGGTCGCGCTCCTTCGTCAGTCGTTGGACTGCTGCAACTGTTAATCCAGTTACATTCGCGATAGAATTTCTTTCCATCGTTGCAGCGGTCCAAAATAGAGCGCTGCAACGATGGAAAGAAATGGATGCAGTCGCACGAATGCGCGAGTTGCGTGCAAAAGCTATTGGGACCGCACCGCAGCCGCGCGCGCTTGCATCTTCTCTCTTCATAAGGCGATCCTTTTGCAGTGGAACGACAAGTAAATCACTATGATTGCTGCCCGAACAACTACACACTCCTGGTATTCCATCTGAACATACAACGGAAGCCGCTTCTATTACGTCATCAACCTTATTACCCCTACTTCGATCATAACACTGATCTCAATTGTTGGATTCTTCAGGTACGTCCAAGAATGCGTCATATGTTCGTTTTCCATCATAATCTGTGGCAACGATTGTTTTGACTCTATGCTAGGAATAGTGACCAGTAGTTCTGCCCATGTTTCGACCACATGGAGTACTCTAGTAATACAATATCCAGCCACGTCAAGCGTTAAATTCTGCGGTGCGGAGAGCAGGTCGAACTCGCGCGCACTGTCATAGGTCGTGTCTGCGCCACGCCCATTTATCGCTTCTCTCCGCTTCACCGACTAAACCCGGTAGATGATATCTCCTCCAAAGGCTACAGAAGTACAAGAAATGGGTGTAATCAGCTCTCGGCGATGATACATCCATAATCCTTAGCGGGGTGAGACGTGGCACAAACCTGCACCGCGCGCGGCAACTTGCGCCGAACCTTTCTGCAATTTGTGCTGTTTCTTCTTTTTTCCATAGAGCTAACAAGAGTAAGAAGAGTGAGCAAATATTTCAGTTCGTCGTCGATCAATGACCTTCGTGAAGAGAAAATCACCCTCGGAATCACAACGCTTCTATCAATGTCTATACTTATCTTCATGGTTTCCGATAAGATGCCGTCAACGTCCTCTTTCATTCCTCTGATTGGTAAGTCTCACATATAGGTGTAGGTGAAGATAGGTGACTGCTATCAGAAGCTCTCGCGATAGCAGGGGCACAGATCGCGGCGCACGCGTACCTTTGGCGAGAACTCCGCATAAAGATTAGCGGTCGTATCGTATAGCTCGTTGGAAAAAATTCAGGAAAGGGGAACAGAGCCGTACTAGAGGGCGAACTCAAAAGCCGGGTAGTTGGTATCGTATTTTGCAAGGAGCATTTGTCCCCGTCCGCGACAGCTCATCGCCCAGCGCTATTTCCTCTTCATCGCTTTAGAAGCACGGGTGCACCAGTGAGAAAGGCGTAATGTGGTTCTGCCTCCGCCTATCTGGTTATTGCGTGAGTGTCCAGAACTCCATATTCTTGAACTGACCTCTTTCCATGTCAGCATGGTTTAGCAGCCTGCTATGATACTGCTTAATATCGTTTCTCAGGACGCTGGCAGCTTACGTATGCGTCATCTATGTCTGCAAAAAAAGGTGGTTTCGGCTCGTTCGGCTCACAAGTGTGGGAAAGGAAGAGGCGTTTTGCCCTTTCTCCGCTTCTCAGACCAATGAAACAAAGGTTTAGCAGTTGTTCAAGGGAGTAAGCGGTAATAAAGAATAAGGATAAAATTTCCGCCGTTCTGTGGGATGCGACACGCATTCTACTTTTATCAGGAATCGTGTTGGTTTATTGAATGCGATTTGAGCCTGTACCCATGGCTTGCAAGTGCCAGCCGATTTACACGTCAGTGCTCTCATTCTCCCTAGACGAATCTGGTACCAATTCACCGTTTCCCGAGGTTAAAAATTTTGTTGGCTTGGAAGGGGTCGACCTCAGATTCGAACCTGAGTCGAGCGAGTAGTAAGCGCGCCGCTGTCACTACACATCACCTCCGCCTCTAATTGTGTAATAGACTATAATTGGTGGAAATCGACTGAAACGAGGGGTATGAAACAGTCTCGTCGCTCTGAAAGAAAAGAAAGAAAAAGATAGGGTAACCTATCCTCTCAGACATGCCCTCATCCGTAGAGAATGAGCCTGGACCCACGCTCGCACAACCAGTGAACTGCTCAGCCTTCAAATCGCTCCTGTAAACCTGTTCATGTTCCACCTTCTTCTTTGTAAGAAGATCTTCCATTTCTAGGAATCGTTGGCAAACCGCCGTGCCGGAAAACGATGCGCTGGGCGCGGGCCAGAAGTGCTCGTTGGAAGATTTGTTCGTATGGAAATGCCTCTCCTTATGAAGCAGGCATACGCGCAGAAGGCCAGAGTGGGTTTGTCCTGATTTTCTTGGAAAGACGACAACAAGTAAGTATAGTAGGCAGGTGGGCTGTGTTCGGTTAGCCCATGAGTTGCAGGTATTTTTCTCTATCTTCGAGAGGTAACTTTGGCTTCGCGACTCGGGTTTTTCCCTGTAGGATTGAAGTTTTCCGCGTGCGTTTAATAACATTTGATCATTATGACTATATTGAGGATCTTACACGCTAAGTGTGGGCGAAGTTCGGCTTAGGCGGGAGGAGGGGGAGTAGTTTTTCAAGAGCTGACAGGTGTTCTTCACAGAATGAAGGACAAAAGCTCTACTCATTTGACTGGTATATCAGTATCAGCTTTGCGAAATTGGCCAATCGTCTGGTTTGATGCGCTTGAGCGAAGGATGGGGAAGTGCAATAAGTGTAAAAAGCGCCTCCCCCCCTCCACTTTGAGCCCACCTACGCCCAAAAAAAGTCGCGAAGCGCGGGCAAAATAGAAATCTCTGTAAAAAAACAGCTTCATGCTTCATCAGTTCCCAAACAAATTCGTGTAATGAAATATCTGGGCCGGCCAGTAGGTTTAGAGTTGGGTCGGCGGGAGATGTTAGTTGCAGCGATGGGATAAACAGGAATTGCTTAAGAACCAAATCGCGCCACTGTAGGGGCCCCGTCATAACGTTGAAGAGTAACGAGAACAGCGAGGGATTTGCTGGTGGGCGATAGGAGCGTCCATAGTTGTTTGTTCAGAAAAGAGTTTTTCCGTTGTATGACTTCTCTCGCTTTTTTCCCTTAGCTGCGCTACTACACCCCCCTCACACCTCCCTATAGCTTTGACGGTTATTTTTTTTGGCATTCGGGAACAACAGAGAACGGCAATGGAGAGGGAGGGGAGTCGTAGAGCGGAACTTCTCAGCAAGAATTTTTTCAATAACATTGGTATGGCTACGTACAGGTCATCTGGATGGCTGCCATGGCGCAACACGAGGTATTGTAACCTCCTGACCCATCGCTGTCCAACTTTAATTCCTGCAATCCAACGCGAAATGCACTGCCAGTGTAGCAAATCACTCTAATACTTTTTGTTAAGTTAATCAATTGCAGGCTTGTTCCATCCCAGGCTTCCTTTTTCCGACAAGTATTGCAAAAATATTTTCTATTTCAGGAGGATAAACTGCGACGCGCACAGGAAGGACGGAAGCAGAGTCTGTGGCAACGCGTCTACAAGGTGGCCAGAGAACAAGCACAGCTCAGAAAGGTACCTTATTATACGTCGTTCCCTAATGGAAGCCAAATTTTGGGTACACGTACTCTTGTTCGCTGCGGAGTGCAGGGTCGAGAGGGAAGGGTTTAGATCGTAGCAGTTGTTTTTCACCAGTTCGTCTGGCTCATTCGCTTCATTGTAGGAGAACGTACTGGCCGCCTTCCACCCAGCCTCACTGACATACCCCATCATCTGCAGCGGACAAGACTGCAATATCAAAGTTATTCGCACTATTTCCAGATATCGAGCGCACAACAGAAACTGAGTGGGAACGGAAACATGTCGTCACCGGATATTCAGCAACTACAAGTGCCAAAAAAGAGCTGCACAATCAACACGGATGTCACGTGTATCGATGAGCAACGTTTGTTTTGAGTTTTTTTTGTTCGATTTCAAATCGATCAGATTTTATTTACATGAACCCAAGGACATGACCCACTTCACTGCCCCTAGATCAGTGGGAAGACTTCCTCCTCACCCCTCAAGCCCACTGCAACTCAACATTCCAGGATCTATCAGTTGAGCTGAAATTAATTGGACGGGTTCAAGAACCCGAAGTGTAGCGCAGTCGTTATCACTGGAGCCAGCCGTGACGTGGCTGCGCAAGGTTCTGCCGCGGCGCCAGCCCGTCGATCGCTGCGGTTCCGGGGGTCCCAAAGAGAACAGCGGAGGTACAGCCATCCCTGCTAACGAGACGTCACTTCACTTACTGTAAAGCTCACGCCACAGCAAACAGTGTCATGGTAATGGAGCGGTCTACGTTGATAATGGGGCGTGGGCCAGGCACACCATTGTGCGAGTCTCATCGACGCGCCCCTCCTTTCGAGGCAGTGTAGAGGTCCGGTACGGAATGATGGGAACTGGGCTGACGCTGCAAGAACTCCGCGCCCCTCTGGCATGCCCCAACTGACTTCTTAACGGCTGTGACCTGCACGCAGGGCACGCCATCGCATTGTGATCACTTCCTGAAAAATACGACCCCCTAATTCTATCCTCAAATACGACCCCCCCCTCCCCATGCTACCTACCACTTTCCTAGATTTTCCCAACTTCCTACCATTTTTCCCAAAAAAATTTCCAGTTTTTCAGCCAAGAATTTTCCGTCGAGCGTGGGGGGAGGGGAAGATCTTCGAGATTTAAAGACACATGGTACGCTGAGGGGTGTATGTGACTATCAGCCCCCAGTTATCGATGTGTGGTGGGCGTTGGTTTCCCGCGCGAAACTGCGACGGCGTAAGAGTTACCGCGGGTGGGGAAGTCTAATTCGTCCATGCTCCGCCTACCGTTTATGCTAACAGCCGTTCCGCGCGGCGCGTCGCGCAGCTCTCTTGGCTTTTTGCCAAGTCCTGTAATTGCGCTTGGAATACAAGTAAAACGCAATTTCCTGATGCGGATAACATTTTAGGTGCTGCAAAATAAAACGAAGATGATGACGAGGGCCAGAACTCAAGAGCAACTGTGCTGTAACATTGTAACACAACAACAACGAACTAAGATTTCGAGGTGTTGCTCATACTTCAAAGTCCGAATAGAAGGTGATGAAGATGACAAAAGGCTAGCAATGAAAACAACGAATGTACAGTCGTGATCCCTCAGACTGGCCATCCGTAATTGCGTACTTCACTGGGACGCGACGGCGGCTGCAGTAGGAGTGGCGATCGATGCTGCATGATCACCTGATTTCAGCGATTAATTTTTCTATTTTGCCTGTTATTCTGCTAACTAGAAGGAAAAGTGAGTTCATATTATTTACTCTAATTTGAGGTTTTATTGTATATTTTGCTTTCAGTCGCTATTTGACTGCAGTGACGGTGTTTTTACCCACTTTTTGATTTTGTTTAGGTTTTTTTGTTGTGCTTTGAATGTTGGACTGTTCTCCATGGCAGTGTCGTTATGTGTCCTCATTAGTACAAAAAAAACCTAAACAAAATCAAAAAGTGGGTAAAAACACCGTCACTGCAGTCAAATAGCGACTGAAAGCAAAATATACAATAAAACCTCAAATTAGAGTAAATAATATGAACTCACTTTTCCTTCTAGTTAGCAGAATAACAGGCAAAATAGAAAAATTAATCGCTGAAATCAGGTGATCATGCAGCATCGATCGCCACTCCTACTGCAGCCGCCGTCGCGTCCCAGTGAAGTACGCAATTACGGATGGCCAGTCTGAGGGATCACGACTGTAGATGTAAATAAAACAAAAATGAAAAAATTTAAGGAAACGCAAACTTAATTAAAATCGCGTGTAAATTTCTGCAATTCGGCGCGAATTCCGGCTCCAAAGCCATAGAAATACTCCAAACTAACGAGTGGGAGCTTAGGCCGTTTTATTTTCATGTTTTTGGGAATGCGCGGCCTCCGAGGGATATTGCAGAAGCAGCACAGTTGCTCTTGAGTTCTGGCCCTCGTCATCATCTTCGGTTCTTATTTTTATGTTTATGTTTATTATCATCTTCGGTTCTTATTTTGCAGCACCTCAAATGTTATCCGCATCAAGAAATTGCGTTTTACTTGTATTCCAAGCGCAATTACAGGACTTGGCAAAAAGCCAAGAGAACTGCGCGCGACACGCGCCGCGCGGAACGGCTGTTAGCATAAACGGTAGGCGGAGCATGGACGAATTAGACTTTCCCACGGCCCTGTACTCTAACCCCGTGCAGTTTCGGGCGGGGAAACCACGACACATCGACAGCTGGGGGGCTGATAGTCACATAACCCTCAATGTGCGTGAGCGTACCATGTGTCCTTTAAGCTATCAAACTATCTGAAGTAGTAGCTGTATAGATCTCTGCAGTCCTCCGAATTGACACCCCCCCTTTATAGCCGCTCAGGTTGAAACAACGAAAATCTAAGGCTACTTAAAAAAAATTTTTCTCAGGACAAATTACGACCCCCCACTCGCCTCGCGTGTGGAAGTAGACCCGCGCCCCCCGTTGTGGATCATCACAGTTGTGATGGCTGCCCTGCCTAGCCACGACAGAATGATGATCTTTCTCAGCCTGAAAACTCGTACCGGCCATCACTAAACTACGTAGTTCAGACTGCTAAACTGCAGAAAAATATCAACTTTGTCGTTGAGGTGTTGCTGAATATCCTTTTTTCTCCCCAGTACTTCCAAATCTCAGTTATATCAAAGGCCCTTATCAGAGCTACCCATTTTCAACTTCATGCCGGAGAACTTGGTCTAGACTTCGTGCTCTTGCTTCTAGTTGGGGGGGGGGTGTTCCTAAAGTTGACGATTCGCCCAATAAAATTCGCTACTCGATTCGTAATGTGACGGTCCAGACGACGTTGTCAGAACTAGCATTGTTCTCTCATAGTTGGAACCAATCTGACCCATTCATTCGTTTTAAACATTTTAAATAGGCCCTAAACGCGCAGAATGTCCCAGTAGGAACCGTAGGCGAAAATTTGGCGTCCTCTTACTCCTATATACTTCATGTTGCTGGCAATGTTCTACTTTATAACAATTTCAGGTGACACGAATGCATTGGTGGATCTCTCGAATGCTTCGGATGAGGACAACTCGTCCTTTCCGGACATTGACTTCACAGCCCATGCTCCGCCCACACCTGTAACAAAATTTCAAAGCCTGCAGAAAATAAGCACGTGCGCATCGCTGGACAGTATGATTCGCAACGTGGACAGTGAGTATCGATTAACGTTTTTGGACAGTTGCCAACCGTGCGCGTCGGTCGGGAGATCCACGTTGCGGCGACTTGCACTAATTAGCGCATGCTATTTCCTTATTGACATGATTCGAAAATCCAAGCTGTATGCTGTGCATGGCGTCATGCACCGCGAAGCAGCTTTGTTGCCCCACCGCAACTCGGATCTCCTCGACCAGTTCATTCTTCGTGCCACTGGGAAATATTCTTGTCTTGCAAAATACTGCACCTTCTCCCTTCCGAAAAACCTGAATAAATGAACCGTCCTTCCCATTGTCCATCTGCCTATCTGTTCCGGAGATGTTCTATAGATTTCTCCTCGTCGTGCGGGAGGGAGGGGGGGGGGTATTTTTGCCAGAAACAATTTCGACTGTTCCCTTCAAGCGACTGCACACGACCTCGTCGTTTATATCCCCATCGAGGAGAGGGTATCCGGCACCCTTTGTCGATCCACCTGCGCTTTCTCTTCCTCGCGCCATCCCTTGCTTTTGCCTGATGTCGATTACGGTGTTCGTGATAGGACCCGATTTCAGTGACAGTGACGTCGCCACGGACAATTCAACGAAATCTCGCTGAATTAGAGTTCGACTGGTTGGCAGCAGTTATTGAACGGATATTTTTGATCTTCTTTATTATTGTTTTTCTTGTTGACCGCTGTTGGTATTAATTGTATTGGTTTGTACTATTGGTATACGGCACAGGATCGTCCTCCTAGCTAATCGCACATAATAAATTGTATTTTCATCAAGTCGTTGACGAGATAAGGCAGCGTCGGCGACGAGAGGGGGGCATTTTGCACTTTTGCTACTTCCCATCGACGTGTCGACCCATCTAGACAGCCTCTTCTCGAGTTGACAGGTTTCCACCATGATGGCTTGACGAGCTTGCTCCAGCTTCACGAACTACTAAAGCAGCGAAAGTATGCAATGCCTCCCGTCGCCGAACTGCGCCGGCAGCGTCCACAGTTTGAGATCCTTCAATCCTCAAGAGATCCGCGACATGCAACGGATGATTATCGATGTTGTAGGACGCTCGATCGCGAACTATAAACGCAGCCTAGTGGTATTTCCTGTACACACCCCATAACTGGAAAATGAGGAGGGTGTTGCTGCGCGCTATTTTGGACATGGCGTAGGCAGCATTTTTCGAGAGATATTCTTAGTTGAGACAACTGTCATTCTGTCTTGTGCTAGACAAAGACACTAAAATTGTTCCACAACGGCAATATCCCACTGAAAGCACAGTCACCGCCACGTCTGAATGAAGTGCGCGGCCACGCCCTCACCATTCCCGGAATATGGAACCACTTGCCGGTGGAGACCGATCACGATCGCTTCATACCATCAGACACCGGAGAAACTAGAATGCTACTATCTCAAGTAGTAAGTTTTTATATTCAAAATGTATCACATCCTACTACTCATTTTGGCGCTAAAGTGAATGGGGAAATGCTTGTATGCGCCCCTATCGTTCCCACTGCGAACTGCACCTAGTGTTATCTTGCTAGAAGGGCGTAGAAAGGGCATGGCCCAATTTCGTATTAACGATCCTCCAACTGCCTCCTGTGAAGGCCGTGGTGGTGGGGTAGTCGTGGGTAGCCGCTTATCACGCGCTCCGGAAGTTAAATCCTGGAACGATTGCCGCCCAATCAAGCCCCACACCCTCAGGAGATGGTAACCTGGTACCAGATCAGTCTGGCTTGATAAA